AAATAAAAATTAAAATGTTAAGTGTGACAGTGAAATTGGGAATCAAAAAGAGAAAGGATATGAGGAAGGCCACAAAAGAAATGCACAAAATTCTGTAGGGGGAAAACTCAATGAAGGAAAATACTAGATCTTCAAAAAAATGGAAAACCGTTATTTCTCAGAAATTTTGTAAATGTGTTTTGTTCTGTTTTGATCAGTTAATAGTATGGTTGGTGTGTTTCAAAATTTGAAATTTTGAACCATAAAGAAAAATTTGAAAAAAATCCCAAGAATTTTTTGCATTTTTTCACCAATTCCAGGGAAAAATTTTTTTTTTAAAATGAATACAAGTATAAGAAAACAATTTTTTTTATAAATCCTGTTTCCCCTGTCCAGTTTCACCACTTTTCTGCCAACACTCATGCAGATGACTAATATTATTCCCCAAAATAGTCCAGTTGACTTCTGAAATATCAATAAACACTTGTTTTTTTCTGTTTTATGAGTACAGTAGAACCTCAGAGTTACGAACACCAGAGTTATGAACAGACCAGTCAACCACATGCCTCATTGGGAACCAGAAATACGCAGTCAATGTTCAGGTATAAACTTTTGAAAGAACAACTATGACATTTTGTTCAGTTACGAACATTTCCAACCTGTTCCCAAGGTGTTCGTAACTATGAGGTTCTACTGTACAAGGCAAAACACTGTCCATTGAAACTTAATGAGTCTGCTCTCAGTTATTTTGGTGTAAATCTAAGCTGGCTTCACTAACAATGAGGTTGCCCCGTGGCTAGTATATCAAATTAAATTCCTCATCGCACAAGTTCTATTTCTGGTTGTCTCATTTCTCTATCTCTAAAACAGGGCTATTGTTTGTTTTGGCTGATATTTTTGAAACCTCAGGCACAAATGCACAAAAATACACATCTGTGTGCACACACAACTATACATAGAAAGACTTAGGGGCACACTGACTGATAGGAAGACCTAAGCAAAAATGTGTTACCTTTCACACACAAACAAAGCAAACGTGCAATTTACGAACATAGATAAAAGCATACATGTACACGGGGTCAGAGACACTACACACCCCCCCCCAATACATATACATTGCACATGCTTCCTAAAACATATGTATAGACAGGTGCAAAGATACTGTTGCAGGACCTGTAACACAATCACAGCCAGACTCACAAATATACCCCTCCCACTGCAAATGTACTTTCCTTTTTTCTAACACACATTTGTTATAAATATACACAGGGACTTTCACAAACACATAAAGATTACTACAAGCACACAAAGCAATTACTGTGAAATACACCCATGGACTCACCAACTAATACCTTTGCAGAAACTCACATATTCAAACACAGGATCCCAAAGTATATCCCCATACACTCTATCTATCGATCTATCTATCGATGGTGGTGAGACATGAAAAAAGTAAGGTATAAAAATTTGGTTTCAGGTTGCGATTTTCAAAATTTCCTGAGAAAAGTTTAGGCATCACATTTTTGTGAACATTGTAGTTTCAACCAATCAGAATTTTCCAATGAAAGAAACTCACAGAAAAAGTCATGACTAGCCTATACTTTAGCCTATACTTATCTATCAATCTTGAGTTGCATGTAACAGCTGCATGAAATGATGTAAAGTTTATAAACATGTGTAATCTCATTCACATGATGACAAGAGGATTACTTGCATGAATTAAGTTACTCATGGGCATCAGTTTTGTAGGCTCAGGTCATGAAAGATAACTTCTTGAAGCTCAGTCAAACACGTCAGACCAGGTATTGAACTGCTTCGTGGAGTTTTAGAATGACTAAGGATAAGAATATCAAAGTTACATATGCCAGGTATGGTCTCTCAGCCTCTTCTTTTGACACAGCCCAAATTATAAAGAATAATATTTTTGGTAGAACTAACAGGAAAAAATTCTTGGTAAAATGAATAAGAGAGTTCTACCTCCTTCGGGAGCAAAGACACAATGGGAGCAAGGTTCATTAGTCCACAATTCCAGTAAGAGACATTCCTCTGCACTACAGTCTTTGGCCTCGTCCCTGCTTTGACCTCTTTTGGAAAACACATGCATGTCTTTAGAAGAACTTTCCATCAGTCTCTCCCCACTTCCCTATATACTGGTAGCCAGTCACCTCTGACAGAGTGGTAGAGCAGAGAGCACTGGTTACATTGTTGCTCATCCATTTCCCAAAGGGCATTATTACCAATGTTAGAAACTGACTCAGAATGATACCAGGGGACTTGGTCTCATTAGCTGCATCCGAGCAGCATCAAAAACAGTTCTAGGAACTTTACAGTGACACTAGCCAAATTCAGCAGCAGAACCTTCTCACTGCCCCACAACCAGCCCTGACCCCGATGCTCCAATCACTGCTCGGGGGGGCTGAAATTCTAAGGTTCAAACACTGCATAGGACACATGTTGTGGTTCCTTACAGTTGTATGTTATTAGAAATATGACTGTCTGTGGGAGAGCAGTGGTGTCAGTCAAGACAAGGTCATTAAAAGCAGGTAACACACTGTTCACACTCTTGTAGATTTTATGGTCCTGATTCAGGCGGTCTCTCAAATAGGTGCTGAGCCTTTAGCACGTGACGAGTCCCACTGACTTCAATTAGACTAATCACATCCTTAAAGTAGGTTCATTTTTAAATTCTGTGATGAATTGGGGTCTATATTTGTTCTTTCTTTTTTTCCTTTCATCCCCAAGAATTATCATATGGATTGAATGCACATGCTCTGCTCTTCTTGTAGGGAAAAACTATCATGAGATCCAAATTTCATAATGGTCCTTTACCTCTATGTTGGGAGAAAATTTAATTTTCTATTCAGTCGCCCTCAGTTTTTGGAGGTAGTGCTCAAAATCCCCATTGCACTGGTTTGGCTCGGATCTAGAACTGCTTCAAAATACCCCCAACCCCTGTGCAAAAAATTGACATTTTTTCCATAATTTTTTTTCAGCAGAACATGTTGGGGTTATTTTCTCAGAAACACAAAAAACTTGAACAGAATTTTTTTCCCCATTTCCTGTTGAAACCCCTGAAGGCAGCTTTCTAGAGGCACATTTGGTTCACAACAAGCTGGAGTGTAAATCTGTCCTGCACTAGCAGGGCTGGCTCCAAGTTTTTTGCTGCCCCAAGCAAAAACATTTTCCCGAGCCCCCCTGGCCCTGCCCCAACTCTGCCCCTTCCCCGCCCCATTCCAACCTCTTCCCCAAATCCCTGCCCCCGCCTCCTCCCCCGGGCGTGCTGCATTTCCCCTCCTACCCCTCCCTCCCAGGCAAGCCTGGGAGGGAGGGGGGAGAAGCGGAGCGGTGACGCGCTCTGGGGAGGAGGCAGAAGTGGAGCGGAGGTGAGCTGGGGGGGGAGCGGTTCCTCTGCCCCCCCCCCAGGGTTACTTCCTGCAGCCCTCCCCACGCCCCCCACCGCCGCAGCTCACGTCCGCTCCACCTGCTCCCTGAGCATGCCGCCGCCGCTCTGCTTCTCCCCGCTCCCTCCCAGGCTTGCCGCAAAACAGCTGATTCACGCGGCAAGCCTGGGAGGGAGGGGAGAGAAGCGGAGTGGCGGCGCGCTCGGGGGAGCAGGCGGCAGTGGAGCGGAGGTGAGCTGGGGGGGGGAGCGGTTCCTCTGCTCCCCGAAGGGTTACTTCCTGCGGCCCTCCCCGCACCCCCCTCCGCCGCAGCTCACCTCCTCTCAGGGCCAGCTCCCAGCTTTTTGCGCCCCAAGCAAAAAAAAGAAGGTGCCGGAGTGCCGTCCCTTGAAAAGTGCCGCCCCAAGCACATGCTTGGAGCACTGGTGCCTAGAGCTGGCCCTGTGCACTAGCCTCCTGCACAGTAAGTGTCCATGTAGAACCTTCTGGGGTGCATTAAAAGTTCTACAATGTGCTTCAACTCATTTCTAAGCAGGGTGAATGAGTGAATGAAAAAATGCACCAAAAAAGAGTTTGTCAGATTCATTCAACAACCTTCCCTTAAAAGGGAGAAGAGAAAAGGGGCGGGGGGACAAAGGAGAAAAGAAAAGGAGAAGAAAAGAAGAGAAGAGCAAAGGAAAAGAGGGGAAATAATGGAAAAGGTAGAAAGAGGCAGGGAAAGAGAGAAATTCAATAAAAAAATGAAAAAAGAAGAGAGAGAAAAGTCAAAAAAGTCAGAAGATAGAGAGAAAATAAAATAATTGTTACAGTGCTCTGAGTGAACCAGCTCCAGGTGTCCGGCGTTGAGCCTTCATCTTTCTGGGTTGGACTCCTGTGATTCTCCCTTTCCCAGACCAGAGTCCCTAGGCTGAAACACCCTGTGCATCAACCAGGATTACTCAGCAGGTCCAACTGAACTCGGTACCAGCACATGTCCCCTCAGGGAGCTGTGACCAGTGGTGAACACAGTGTCCCAAAACAGCTGCCTTAAAACAAAGTATTTTTCAACCTGAACAGTAGGAGTACAAAACACTAGAGAAAATTATTAAACAACAGAAGGCCTACACACATGTTTATCTTACCTAAAGACTTGCCTACCCTTGGCAAAGCCCTTTGGGAGGCTAAGCTTCCTTGAGGAACCCCCAAACACTGAATGTCTGGGTGGGTGGGTGGGTGGGGGTTGTTTCTCCACCCAAACCCTCTCACCAAACTAGCCTTTCCTCTATTCAGGGAGTGTGTCTCTTTAATCTCTCTCAGTCTTTGATCTCCCTCCCTTCATAGCGGGAGGGTTTCAGTCTTGGGAAAACTGGTCTGGCAGGCCCACCATGGGTTGGGGAAGGATATCTCAGTTAATTGTCCTTGGTGTTTGCTGAGGAGTTCTTAACTGGGCTGTCCTCCATCTACCGGGCAGTTTCCTGACCACCCAACTATAGAATTAGCCCAACATATGAATACAAAAACACCTTTACAATATTCAGACAAACAGATCATACAATGTTTTCATGAACTACTACAGGCAACTCCAAATCTATCACAACAATATGGGTTTTTTAATTTTTTTTTTTACAAGTTAGAAAGAAATATTTTTCTGTCCATCACCCTTCCCAGGGCTTCCTTTACCTCCTTATTCCTCAAGCTGTAAATCAAAGGGTTCAACATTGGGCACACCACCATATAGAACAAGGAAAGCAGTTTGTCCTTGTCGAGTGAGTAGCTAGATTTGGGCCTCAGATATGTCACGATGGCAGTTCCATAGAACAAAGTGACCACGATAAGGTGGGGGGAGCAGGTGGAGAAGACTTTGCTCCTGCCCGTGGCTGATGGAATACTGAGAATCGCATGGAGGATACGGACGTAGGACACCAGGATGAACAGGAAGGGGACCATGATAAAGGTGACAGCTTCTTCATTACTGTAGGTGTCTGTGCAGGCCAGATTCAGCAGTGGGGGCAGGTCACAGAAGAAGTGGTTGATACTATTAGGTCCACAGTAGGGCAGAGTGAATATGAAAGTTGTCTGCCCTAATGCCACCAGCACCCCAATGAGCCAACACACAGATGAGAACTGGAGACACACACCTCTGCTCATCATGGCCGTGTAGCGCAGAGGGCGACATATGGCCACATAAGGTCATACGCCATGGCAGCCAGCAGGCATCACTCCGTGATCCCTAAGAAGGAGAAGAAATACATCTGCATGGCACAGCCCAGGCAGGAAATACTTGTGTCCTTGGAAAGGAAGTTCACCAGCATCTTGAGGATGATGGACGAGGTGTAGCCAATTTCCAGAAAGGACAAATTCTGGAGGAAGAAATACATGGGGGAGCAAAGGGCAGGGTCCACTACCGTGATTGTGATAATGACATTGCCCACCAAGGTGACGAGGTACAACACCAGCAGTGAGAAGAAAAGGGAGACCTGAACCTCCAAGAATTCAGAGAAAGACATGAAGAGGAACTGTGTCACAACTGAGTGGTTCCCATTAGCCATGTCCCCCTGTTGTTTTCCAGCTACAAAGATAATAAAACCATTAATTCACTGGTTAATCTGGGAGAATCTCTCAATATACATATATATAACCAATGACAAACATTTTCAATAGTGGACACTGATTCTGGGTGCTCCCATTTTTGGACACCCAATGTAAGACCGCTGGTAGTTGATTACACTGGTCTACAATTTTTGAGAAGTCGTCTGCTTCAGAGATAAA